TACATTTATTGCTGTCGATATTTCGCCTTCAATCTAAAGGCATCTTCAGGACTGAAAAACACCAAATGCATATATATTTACGTCAAACTACAAAAAACTTACATCTAAAACGCAACTTACATTATTGAGTTTTTTCAATCGTCGAATTCTATGTGCAGAAAAATATTAACAAACAAGCTCAAAGAACACTTAAACATAAACAAGAGAATTTAAGCAAGTCGAAATACCGTAACTGTAAACAAAAAATATACAAACAACAATACATGAAGTGGTGGACAGTAGGACGGAGAGAATCTGTATGTAGATCAACACGGCATAGCATTGTTATTGTCGGACGAAGTACTGGTGGCGGACCGACGAACAATAACATGAACACATAAACACATGACACCTACGTTATTGGTTTTTGTGCGTGAGGATTAAATTGCGATAGACATGAGCGCAATTTTCTGTGTCCGTTTTATAAATCATCCTTCTATTATTAGGGGTATTCATGATGTGTAACATCTCTAGAGTATAACGTTTATTGTAATTTCTCTCTTCCTGTAAGATTGCTACATTGTCAAAATCGGGATAATGTCCCATATTTTGGCAGCGAGATGTTAAGGCTGTCTTAATGTCCATAGAGTTATTCCTTGTCTTCAATTTAGATTTGGTTGTCCCCACATATACCATATCGCATACGTGGGACCCGTCACATTGCATGGTATTCTGTAGATTACGTCAGATTGCTAATTTTTAGGAACTTTGTCTTTGGTGTTGGTGTATATTTGTTTTAAAGTATTATCATACGTGAACGCTATGTGATTTTTTTTTTGAAAGTGAAGAAAGAATAACTAATACACTCACTACAACTATTAAGAAATCACCACCTAGCAAGTATGAATATAATTACTTAACATTAGGGTTGTCCCAGAATGGTTTTGCAATATAACAAGTACAGAAATTCCAGATGGCATTCAATGGCTCCTACCTTTAGGACCGAAATTCGCCTTATCTATATCCATTAAAGAGTTTCCACTATCTAAGATTATGGAAGATGGGGAGAACTGCATACAGACGATTAAAGATAAAGAAAAACAGGAAATTGAAAGAAACAACTTGACGACTTTAATACGCGATTACTTAAATAAGGCGGCATATACAATTAGAGATAAGTTTATTCATAATACCCTTCATTCTGCTAAGAAGTTTCTGAAAAAGCATGACGAAATTTTAATCCTCAACGCTGACAAAGGGAACGTAACTGTAGCGATGAACAAATCAGATTATGACATGAAGATGCAGAAAATTGTAAATCACATCTCAACATATAGGGGTTTAAAACGTGGCCCTACAAATAAGCTACAAGGGAAAAATAATGAAATAGTGGAGAAGATGTATGCTAACAAAATCATTGATTTAAAGGAAAAGAACTACCTGACCTGCAAAACGGCTAATATATGTTCGTCCGTCAATTCACCGTCTTACAACTTATGCAAATATATTGTCCGCGTACTCAAAAATATAACAATGACCTCAAAGTATAACGTTAAAGATGCGATCGAGTTCAAAAACAAGATTGGAAATACCCATATTTATGACGATGAAAGTTTAGTGTCTTTTGATGTCGTATCGTTATTCCCGAGCATCCCCGTAGACTTAGCAATAGAGATCATAGATTCGAAATGGAGTTTGATACAAGAGCATACGTCATTAACTAGAGAGCTTTTCTTAACCATATTAAAGTACTTCATTAAAGAGAACCGCTACTTCAAATACAATGATAAGATTTATGAGCAGAAGTCAGGAATGCCTATGGTTTCATCTGCTTCACCTGTCATAGCGGATATAGTTATGGAAGAACTTTTAAATAAATTCGAAAAAGATTCGGACAGCAAACCACGGCTTCTTACCAAATATGTTGATGATTTATTTGCGATTTTAAAAACGGAAAACATAGACAAGATGCTCAACACTTTAAACAATTTTAACAAAACTTTAAAATTCACAATAGAAATAGAAAATGAAGGACAACTACCACACTTGGACACCCCAATAATCAGAAAAGAAAGAAAATGCATTAACAGTTGACTGGTATAAGAAACCTACAGCATCAGGGAGGCTCATAAACTTCAATTCTAACCGCGAGAGGAGGACAATTATAAATACGGCTACCAACTTCATCCGCAGAGTACTCACCATAAGTCATAAGATATACCACAAGAAAAATATTGGCATTATCAAAGAAATCCTGGAGAAAAACGAATTTCCTCATGGCTTAATTAACAAACTCATCCGCGATTACTATATCAACTCCAATAAAGATAAATAAAATGAGAAGAAAATTTATACATCGGCAACATATGTTCCAGGATTATCAGAGAGGATTAAGCACTCTAAAATGTTTGACAGAGAAAAATTTCACATAGCGTTCACGTATGATAATACTTTAAAACAAATATACACCAACACCAAAGACAAAGTTCCTAAAAATGAGAAATCTGACGTAATCTACAGAATACCATGCAACGGTGACGGGTCCCACGTATGCGATATGATATATGTGGGGACAACCAAATCTAAATTGAAGACAAGGATTTCCGCTCATAAATCTAACATAAAATTAAGGAATAACTCTATGGACAATAAGACAGCCTTAACATCTCACTGCTAAAATATGGGACATTATCCCGATTTTGACAATGTAGCAATCTTACAGGAAGAGAGAAATTACAATAAACTCTAGAGATGCTACACATCATGAACACCCCTAATAATAGAAGGATGAATTTTAAAACCGACACAGACAATTGCGCTCATGTCTATCAAAATTTAATTCTCACGCACAAAAACCAATAACGTAGGAGTCATGTGTTTATGTGTTCATGTTATTGTTCGTCGGTCCGCCACCAGTACTTCGTCCGACAATAACAATGCTATGCCGTGTTTATCTACATACAGATTCTCTCCGTCCTATTGTCCACCACTTCATGTTTGTAGTTTGTATATTTTTTGTTTACATCTACGGTATTTCGACTTGCTTAAATTCTCTTGTTCATGTTTAAGTGTTCTTTGAGCTTGTTTATTAATATTTTTCTGCACATAGAATTAATCGATTGGAAATACTCAATAATGTAAGTTGCGTTTTTGATGTAAGTTTTTTTGTAATTTGACGTAAATATGTATGCATTTGGTGTTTTTCAGTCCTGAAGATGCCTTCAGATTGAAGGCGAAATATCGACAGCAATAAATGTAATAAATAAAACTACCAAAATCTATGTTTTATTTAATAACCGGCCTGGAGCTCAAAATTAACGATTTTTTTTTGCTTCTTATCATAAAATGCATAACCGGTACGGTCTCTGAAATGAGGTGGTAGATTCTACACCTTTGGTGTGGGTGTTACACGAGGGCTTAAGAGGGGACGTGAGGGTGTTGACTAGGGAATAGAGTGAGACAGAAATAATTGACGAATAAACAGACGTACTATGTCAGGCTAAGAGGGCTTTGCAGCAACAGTAGGAGTCAGAGCAACGCCCATGGCTGCGTAAGCAGAATGCGCAAAGATGGTGGGACGACTCCACCTGACAGGACGGGCCTTCTTTTCAGCTTTTCTTTTTCTCTTTTCCTAATATTGTTTGTACCGCTAGTGCTGATGAGCAGGTATGACACTTTTGTTTACGTAGGGTAGGTAAGGTGGGCGAAAAACTTCGAAGTGCCTTCCTGGTTACTTTAACGCACTGGCGAAGAGGTATTCGGATTTGGAATGTCACTATTGGTACTTGTTTTCGTTTTTTTTTACTTTTTAGTGATCTTGGGCTATTTGAGCTACCTCGTATGTAATCCAGCATATCATACCAGTGAGGTTCGTAGCTGATTTCACGGAGTTATGACACTGGCGGTTGTTATGCCACACTGGATAGAAATTAAAGGGGATTAGTTGACATTGACAACGGACTGATCGATACGGACTTAACGCTCTACACTAGGACCTCGCTCAGTATAACATCACGCACTCACCAAAGCATTTAATCACTAGTAGAATGCTGTGCAGTTATAGGTCACACGTAGCGTAGCCAGAGCCCTCGAAAATCAGGTTATCGGTTCAATATTTACTCAAATCGACACGGGTATAGAACATCCTGTAGATTTCCTGCCAACAGATTATCTCAACCGGTGCACTGCTCGCACATGTGGCACACCCGCGCAAGAGGTGTCACAGCAACCAAGTGTTCGAGTCACGAAGAAGTTGTACCTTCTAAACGTTACGGATAACAGCCTCTCACTATCGCGCAAGATAGAGGAGTTGTTTAACATGACGGAGGAAGAACAGCAACCTGTGAGGAACATGTCACCGAACGATCAAGGACCAAGCGGATTGAAGTCTCACAGATTGAGAACCATTTTGCCTCTGCCTTGAAAGGGTTAAAAAGCGTCTCATATATGACAGACTCTGCATTAAAGGGTTAAATGCTACACTTTCGTAAAGATATCGACCAGTATAACCATTTTTGATACATAAACTTTTTTGTGAAAGCTGATAGTTTACGAGTTATTAGAGTTTAAAGGAAGCTTTTCTTTTTGCAATCTGGTCACTCGGGTACAGCACCCAATGTTCCAAAAATCGAGTCTTAAGGTAAAATAAAGAGAAATCTTTCAGAAACAGGTCTAATGGTGTATTAAATATAGTGTTTTCAAATAGAATGGGAGCCAAAATCGAAATTTCAAAAAAAGTGATATCTTGAACTGTATTTTAACTTCTCTATAGTTTTCCTACATTATATAATCAATTATCTTCACGATAAAAAAATTTTCATTCCCCTATCTCTTTTTTAACCGAAGATCTACGATTTTGAAAAAAAACTCGTGTTTTGCCTATAGTGCGCCGAAAGAGAGACGCGACACATCTACTTAAAAACGAAGTATTTATTAGAGAAGAAGGAGCCCAGGGTCAGTCCCACTCACGAAATGAAGCGAGATTAAGGAAAAAATAGATCTAGATAAATGGAACATAAAGTTCGATGGTTTGGCCAAAGGTTTAACGATAGAGAGTTTAATTTTCCGGATAGAGAAGATGAGGGCGCAGTATGGCATCTGCTACTATCAGTTATTTACAAACTTCCACTGTTTGATTATTGGCAGCGCCTTAAAATGGTACTGGCAGGTCCTCGAGGATCATGCCGAGGAGCCTGAGTTCGGCTATTTTGAACTTAAAGCCGATTAGCTCAACCATTTTAAGAGCGCTGAATCGGACTACGAAATAATCCGAAAAAATAATGGAGAGGAAGCAGGCACCCCAAGAGAGCTTCGAAGAATTCTATAGTGAGGTCCACAATTCAACTATCCGCCTTAGGAAGAAAATCCTCGAGCAGGAGTTTGTGGCAGTTATAAGAGGGAACCTTAAGCCATATTTGGCCAACCCAACCTTCGCGTCTCGGATGGAGTCGCTAGCGGAGTTAAAGCCAGAATGCAGACGTGCAGAGAAAGTTATAAAGGAGAATAAGAATAGGTCAAATACAGTCAATGAATTGAATTAAACAGAAGTTGAGAAAGTAGATAAGTTAGAACCGTGTTATTTAGAAGCATTTGGTAGGACCTAGCATAATAAACCGCAGCAGAGAATGCAAACCCGTGAGAAATTGTCGTCATCCGTTAGTTCCGATGTCCAAAAGTCCTCGATTCGTTCTTTTTGTCTGTCTCCGTTTCAGTTAATGTTGTGTTTTTCGTGCGGTATGCCCGTGGACTATTTTGTTAAGAATCCATCAGAAGAAAATAAGTGTAAATCGTCCTTCATAATATGTTGTGTTTCGCGTGCGGCAGTGATGCGTCATTTTGTGTTCTCAAGCCGAGTTAGGAAACTTGAAGGTGGCGGAGATCTCCGGGAACTCTTATCAGGGAGCGGAAAACCCGGAGTCAACCCAGTGAGAATCCTTAGAAGAGAGAAAAGAGAAGAGCAGAAGTAAGCAATGAAGCTAAGAACTTACACCGTAGAAAGCTTGAATAGGAGGAAGCGCGTAGACGGATATTCAGGGAAGAGCTAGTAAAAGTGAAGATAAGTAGGAACGATAGGAAGATAGGTAAGATTAGGGAAAAGAAAAAGGATCTCCCTAGAATATGCCGTTAAATAATTTCCGCAATAGTCGCTGTTAACGGAGACAATAGATTTTTCGCAAACCTAAAATTGGTGGCCAGGAGGTGCTAGCTCTATTACATTCTGGTGCAGGTGCGAGCTGTTTAGGAAAGCTTCTCGAGGGAGGAGCACTTCATACTACCTATTATGGGTCAAAACATCCGAACGGCCAACGGTGGAGAAACTGAAGTAGAAGGTGTCATCACGCTTCCTTTCTTGTGGGATAACGTGACTAGAAACTTAGGGTTTTTTAATTGTTACAGAACAAGAGTATGCCTCTAGGTGTTGATCTTTGGCATGAGTTTGGTATGTGTGTGGTGAATAAAGGGTCGGCTACAAGTGTGAATGGAAATGTTGTATCAGAGCTCGTACCCGCAGAAGGAGACTTAACGTTTGACGCGGTACAACACGACCTGACCCATGACCAAAGCATGGCTTTGGAGCGAATAAAGGCCCAGTTTCCGTCTTTTGCTGTGCTAGGGCTAGGGAAAACTGATAAAGAGGAACATATTATAGAAGTCCCCAATGAGAATCTGCCGGTAAAGCAAAGACACTACGCGATTTCGCCGGCCATTCAGAAGCTGTATGTAACGAATTGAATACAATGTTAGATATGGGTGTGATTGAAGAAAGTAACAGCAGCTGCAACTCTCGCGTATCACTGGTGGTGAAGGGAACGGAGAACCGGTTGTGCTTGGATGCCAGAAAATTAAATGAAAGAACAATAAAGGACGCGTACCCCCTCCTCCATATTGATGACATTTTAAGCCGACTTCAAAACACACGCCTTGGAACAGCAATTGACTTGATGGACGCCTTCTGGCAGGTACCTATAGAAAGGAAATCCAGAGAGAAAACAGCTTTCACGGTACCTGGTAGACCGTTATACGAATTTACCGTCATGCCTTTTGGGCTGTGTAACGCAGTGCAACGTATGTGTATACTAATGGACAAGGTTATT